ATGAAATAGATTACTTTATTTACATTTAAGCATTACAAATTGCTCAAAACCATTCAAATTATTGTATTATTTGAATTACAAATCAGCATCAACAACTATTCTGGGCGACATGACCCTCAAAGCAAATGTTGACCAAGGTCATTTTAGGTAATTTATATCCCCTACCGTCCATGAAGCCCAGCTAGGAGATCTGTTGGTGTCCTGGCGTCCAAGTGTGACCAAATTTCGAATGAAATGAACGTCAAAAACTACCCCCAGAAGCAACTTTCCATGAAAAATTTTGTTTTGACTGTGGCCCGACCTTCATAACTGACTCAATGTCGACACAATTAGTTGTTACCATAGCTTCAGTCGTTTTACTGCCAAAAATACATCCTAGTTTCAAGACGTCGTCTAGCAATCCGGTACAGCTTGAACGATTCCCAACTCTTCGCTGGCAATGATAGCCTAACTGGCCTGCTACCAGGGGTCAGTGACCTTATAAGACATACATACTTCTACACCTAAGGGTCACCTATTCAAATGCATATGGCTGCAAGGACTTGGTGGAGCTATACCACACCGAAGTCGTCCTCAGCGAACTTAAGTGGGTAAATGGGGGCCACTCAACCTGCGTGCCTAACAAAGTTCGGTGTAGGCATGTTGAAACCAAACAGATGATAGCAGGACATGTTGATTTACCCCCTGCAAGAATTTTGGTCCTATTTGTGAGTTTTTTCGTGTTGTGGCCCCCTCCTTACTCCCAATTGTGAATTACCGTGGCTGTGGCGTGGCTGAGTCAAAACCAGGCCGTGTGAAGTGCTCCTGCCTCACCCTAGATTTCCCCCCCGGAACGAATGTCAAAAAGCACTGAATGTTTTTAGGCACTAAGTCGGCCGTCAGCCACAGTAACTAAGTAGCGCGTCAACGTTTGACAAGTTTTTAGAGGCAGTCCGAGGGGAGGGGGAGGCATGACACCGAAAAAGCAACGCGAAGTTCTACTCAAGCCCAATTAAAGAACAAATTTCCACCGAGGGTCAGGTCCCAATCACAGATCGTTAACTGGATCGTGGACTGCGTTTGCAAGCGAGGCGCGTCACCCGAGCCACAATATGTATTAAGAATGGCACACATACCGTAAAGTAAATCCTTACTGGGCCCCGGAACCTCCAAGCCGTACCTTTAAAGCACAATACAGTGATGCAAAATAGCCAACAGGCGGTGCTGCGACGCCGAAACTGACAATGCGACCAATGCAGGCATAACACAATGCAACAAACCCGAATATACGGTCCTGGACAATGCAAGCAAATGTTTATGGTGCAGGCCAAGAGGATTCAAGAAGCATGCAGCAGAAGTCCCAATGCGTTTGTAAATTTCATAACTGCGCATGTCTGTTCACAAAAGAGTGCTTAAACATACTTTAAGAGTGGAAATGAATTTTTTTAATTTTCTGAAAACATAATTCTATTTTAACGGTAGTTTTAACTACGAAACAGCTTTTATATAATGTGATAATGTATTTATAACAATCCTGAAAATGCTGTGAGACAATTGTGACTTGTGAGATACAAAATCATTTTTCTCTCGATTCCATTCATTCCACAACTTTGGCCTGTTGGGAATTTCAGTCGGCGTTCGTCGGAGACCTCGCGTTTTTTTGTAATAAGCATTTGGTCATGCAGATCTCGCAGCAAATTTAGTTTTTAATCATTCCTGATGCCATCCTCCCGAATCAGGGGTGTAGCTTCCCTCAGCGTAGTAAGGTCCAGTCTCAATAACTTAGGAGGCAAAATATTGTGCAAAGTCCGGGAAGAAACACGCTTCTCCTTGAAGGGATTTGGGGATAGGATAAGTCGTTTTCTCTCCTCAGTTGCATTTATCAGTTTTCTCCCAACTTATGCTGCAAAATACACCCCTCATGACCAGCAGTTATTTTCTTGCAAAGGGGACTTGAATTAGGTGAGCAATTTTGTAACAGTATTTGTAAAAGTTCAGGGAAGTTTTCTGTGCAAACTTGATGCTGTAGACCTTAAAGGTGTAATGCCATGGAAATATCACTACTGGCACATACTTGTTAACTGGGAGACCTGTAAGTGTAGCACTTAAACATAGTTGGCAGCATAACCATAATGCTGAGGTCATATAACCAGGTACAAGACATTATCTAGCTACAGGACTTATTAGAATCAACTGTGTGCAGAAGTTTAACAGTTTGAGGAAGCACTAACCAGTTGAAAGGAAAACACTCTTAAAACTGGTCCAAGGGCCATTGTGCCTGAGTGAAAAAGATAAGAAAGCTCAATTTATTTGCAGTGTTTAGACATATCTATCTTGTTCCCACTACTTACCAGTAGGGCCACATTTTTATTGCTGATAGTCACTTCTTATAATTATGTAGGCATCATGGGCTTATGTAGAAAACAAAGCAAATTATACAATAAGAATGGACTATTGCATCAGTTAAGACATCAGTTTGACAACATCACAGCATTATTTGCCTTGTCACCAACCAGTGTAATTGTCTGCAAGTAGTTGTAACACTTGATAACTTATTTAGCGTTTTAGTTTCCTAAATGTAAACCAGAAAATACTGGCTGAGTTGTGTGGGTTCTTTGAACAAGGAGTATCTGTCGGAAAGGTCTCTTTCTGTTTGATGAGTTTGGCTATTTTGAAATTGTGATTATTTGTATCTGGGGTGATATATGTAAGATGATGCATTAATAGAACATGTGATTGGTTTATTTGATGGCAAAGACTGCCATCTTCATTTAGGGAAAGGTGCAGATACCCTGCCCATTACAACAATATATGCTTTCAAGATATAAGAAGATATGGAAGTCATACAAGTATAGATTTGTACCATGGCTAATATTTAACTTAAAGAACAGGTTTGTTGTATTATGTTATTTACATGACATTTTAAAGAAATGTTACATCTGTTACTCAATGCTGTCTTCTAATGCTCCAAGAGTGTGTGCAGTTTTCAAAGTGAAAATAAAAGTGCAGGCCATTGAGCACTTCATGGCTTAAAAAATCATTGATTTATTTTGTATAGATGGACAAAATTTTAAATATTTTTATTCTCAATCAGTCTCCCACTCTTCTTCTGAACTTTCCTGTTGTTCATGTTTGCCCCTATGCCTAAGTTAGCTCTCATGCACATTTTATCTCATCGATGGGCAACCATGTGTCCTTGGAAGGGGAGGAATCAGGTAGCCTTATTGTCTATAACAAAACAACGACAGCCTGATATTGGATTGTGGCTGTCCTGTTCATGTTCCCAATTATGTGCAATGTTGTGCTGTCCAAGTTTAAAGCTTAACAAGCAGGACAATCACGTCAACTAGCTTGTTGAGTTCAGTTGCCATCAATCAGGCGTGATGTGTGTATTGAAGGTATTTGCTACTTTCAGATCTGTTCGAAGAGAAGTGGGTGGGTGCCAGGATGATACTTTGCAACATGATGCCCTTGTCGATTCGGTCTTTGATGTCCTTACTTTGTTAACTGGCCATCTTTGTCCACTACATGACTATCAGAAGCAACATGAAAAGGCAAATCAGGTAACCATTTGACCTTCATAATTTTAGACTGATGTGACACATCAACATGCATGTCTTTGAATCCATTTTTAGCTGAAAAAATAGCATGCTCAAAGGCAGAGGAACCATTAATGTGCTAAGCACTAAGATAAGATCGGAAAGATGACCTGAGCCAAGATAGGCGCAGCTGTTGCAGTAAATCACCACCATTCATGAAACTCTCTTATTTCATCGCCATCGGCATGTTACTTCGGCCATGTCGCCGTGCTCCCTGCCACTGCAGCGACGCATCGTTTCCCGGAGGCGAGCCACTGCAGCCCACAGCGCGTGTCGCCCGCTGAGGTGGCGCCGCCAGTGACACCCCGCCCGGTCGCTGTGGGTCGCGTCGCCCGCTGAGGCGGCGTCGCCAGTGACACCCCGCCCGGTCGCTGTGGGTCGTGTCGCCCGCAGAGATAGTGTCGCCAGTGACACCCCGCCCGGTCGCTGTGGGTCGCGCCGCCCGTCTGACTGACCCTCCGGTCGCTGTGGGTCGCGTCGCCCGCTGAGGCGGCGTCGCCAGTGACACCCCGCCCGGTCGCTGTGGGTCGTGTCGCCCGCTGAGGTGGCGCCGCCAGTGGCACCGCACCCGGTCGCTGTGGGTCGCGTCGTCCGTCTGACTGACCCGTCCGGCCGCTGCCGCAGCTGCTGCTCACGCGGCTCGGCTTCCAGCTGCGCCGACAGCCGAGCCGTGCGCCCGGCGCCGGCGAAGGGGTGGTCGTGGCGCGCGGCGTCGTGCCGGCCGGCGCCGTCTGCTGCTGGTACCCGGGCACCGTCTACCTGCCCGGCGACCCGCTGCTGCTCGCCTCGCTCGCCAACCCGTTCGTGTTCGGCTGCGCGGACGGCGTGCACGTGGACGGGCGCGGTGGCGGCCTGAGCGGGCTGCTGTTCGGCTCGTGCGCTGGCCGCGATCACCTGGGGCCGTTCCCGGCGGCCGACCGGTCGTGGCGCGGCCGCTGGCCCGCCAACCCGCTCGCCGTCGGCCAGTTCGTCAACAACCACGGCCCCGGTGGGTGACTGGGCTGTGTTCGTCATGCTCGGCTGTTTCCGTTGGATGATGTGTGCCAGTTCAGTGGCGAAGCGTCATTTTTTTGCGGGATATGTATGTGCAGAATCTTTTGTGTTCCTCGCATTTGTAGTGCTTTCATGGCATTTTGTGGGCTTGGGTTAGATATTGGGGACCAGGCTATGCACCGGGAACAGCTCCTTGAAAACTTACGGAGCCCCAGGTATCTGTTACACTGGCTAATGTTTTTGAGCTGGTATCGATCGGCTGGTTTGGGCTATGCAGAGAATTGCTGTCTGCACACTAAGTCTCACTTCACCATCTATCCACTCGCTCTGTCCCCGTAACGTGAACCTTCGGACTGGAGTTTGACTGGAGTTTGTTCGTACCATTATCAAGCGCAATGTTATGGGATTTCCACGTTTCCGTCGCAGGCTTCCCCAGCAACGTCTGCTACCAGGAGGTGGACCTGCCTGCAGTGCCGTACCCGTTGAGGCGGTACCTGCCGTACGCCTGGTACCGGGCGCGGGTGCCGCCCCCGCTGCGAGTGGTGGTGCTGGTCGCCCTGAGGGAGATCTCAGCTGGCGAGGAGCTCTTCTCGAACTACTTCACTGTGGTGCAGGATAGGTGATGTTGCTGGAACTGAAACAGCCGCCGTTATTTCTAGTCAGCTCACTCCATCTGGGCAGTTTACATAAGTGGGATGGTGCTACGCCACAGCTTTGATAATCGGGTTCTTATGTATCTGTCGTATTGCTGGAATCGCAAAAATGTATGAAACAAATATATGCGAGTTTTGTTACTGGTCTGTGGTCGTACATGCATGCAATGTATTCCGTTCTAATAAGTATGCTGTGTTCGTCGGTGATTCGGGTAATGAACTATCAGACATTACAATTACACGCTCGCGTTGATATAGATGCGACGTTCAGCGCATACGAGCGCGGCTAACGCCGATTTTTTCTGGGGGAGGGTTGGAGTTGATCGCAGTCACCTAAAACATAGAGTGTAAAGAAAAAAGACATCGCTTGCTTCGGCTTGGTGGCAATGCTCTATGTGATGTCCTCAGTGATCCGCCAGTCGGCATCCTCCGTGCTCCTCCAGTCGGTACCCACAGTGATCCGTCAGTCGACATCCTCGGTGATCCGCCAGTCGGCACCTTCAGTGATCCGCAGTCAATACCCTCCGTGATCCGCCAGTTGGTACACTCGGTGATCCGGTAGTCAGCAAATAATTTAGCGTCTGAGCGTCTGGTGTGCCATTCCATGCCATCGCCTTACAGGCTGCAGCGCCACCTACAGCACGCACTGCGTTAAGGCGCGCCGTAGTAATTCTGCGTAGATGGCACCACGTTAGCCGTCCTTGTGATTAAAGCGCTCCCTATAAAATTCTAGATCGCTGCCCTTGTGCGGAAAGGCGTGCTGTGGCGGAAGCCGGCAGTCAGGGAACGGTCGATGTGTGGGCATCATTCTGGCGATTTTTTGTGTTTCTGGGAATACCCGATGAGTGGGTGTCCCTGCGCACGTGATGCTCACGCGAATCTTCAACCAATGCTTCCATTGAAAAGCGACGGAATTTCTCCCCGTCATGGTAGACCAGATGTTCTGATGAGACTCAGCCGTACCATACAGTACGTTTGCGTAGATGCAATGCTACGCTTCTGCGCTGTACGAGGAATCGACGGGCTGTCGATGTGTTCTCACGCACCACCGATAAAAACAATGACATTGGTTTCAAATGGCTGTAGACGTATTATAAGACACTGGCAATGATAGCAATGACATTGGTTTCTAAATGACGCAGTGTTTAGGGTAATGTAGTCGCATTCATTCCAACTCGACTACTGCGCCGTGGGAGTGCCGTGCAGTTTGCAGCAATGATGCCAAGCGCATGCCAGGAGACGACGTTCACATAAAATCCGGGAATGCAGCTATCTTGTTGCAGCTATTTTGCTGTTTTACATTAGCGAACAAGTCGAACCAATTCGAAGTGAGTGGAAGCACAGCCCAAGGTTTGTCAGTGTAAAAAAAAAACGTACCGCGTGCGCAGACGTGCGATATGCAGCTGCGTAGTTTCATCTTCAGCTCCCTCTACTTTGAGAGAAAAGTGAGTCAAAGTCGGGTAGGAATCCGCTTGTTCGCGGATTTTGCGGGAGGTTCCATCTTTCATGGTTTAGCCCCCCCCCCCCCCCCACGTTACTTAGCGAAACTACGACCCTGGCGAGGTGTGGCATGACGCATAACCTGGGATGTTTTCAGTCTACTCATTTTCTTGTCACCTTTAGTTGTTAACTGCTGACATTTATTCACCCGCATATTGATGTATGCCGAATTTGATAGGGCAGAGGCATGATATTTGCCCCGGCGCTCCCTCGAATACACCCCCGCGCTCCGTGCACTATACCAGAGTGCTGCATGACCTACAGCAGTCGATGCCCCCCCCCCCCCCCCACACTATACCAGAGCGGCGCGGTTTGAGCATGACCCGCTTATGCGCCCCTCCGCATTAGGGTGTTTCGGTCTTCACTATGAGCATCACGTAGCGACTATGTAGCCCATCGAGAGCCCATCATCCCGGAAGCAGACTATGGCGGGGCCGTAATGCCTCGTCGTCCAGTGCGCCCCTGTAAGTGGCCGCAGATGCCGCGGTGCAGCTCGGTGCTCGTGACGACAACCGTCGGCCGCGCCAACTGAGCCCGCCTGCCGACCGCTCGCACCCGAGACGACAGACAGCCAACACTTCCACTCGCCAGAAATGACGATGAAGCCGTCCCAGCGGCAGGTGGTCATGAATTTCGGCGGTGTTCGCGACGCCCGGCTCGGTCGGCAGCGTCGGGCACGTGCTCGACTTGCGCAACGCGAGCCTGACGCATGCCTTCGAGGATGTCAACACTAAATCATGGCGCTGTAAGGACTAGAAAGGTGCTGGCTCGGAGTCTACGATATCCTGTGGTAACGCTGCTTTCAACACAATCTGTGAACGCTTATTGGCATATTTGCTTATCCTATAAAAGCATTCAGACTTCGGTATGTCCGGGAGCTCAAAACTGGCACGGCAATGACGGCGTTAAAATGGGGCCCATACTGGAATAATTTTCTGCCCCGCATAACGTGCGGCGAAAGCATTCCCCGCTTGGATCCCCGTTTCCTATGTGACGCCAACGCATCTCTAATGCGTTGGCGTTTATAAATATTAAAAAAGGTTATATTGAGGGTCACGGAATGCGGGACCTTTCCGCACGCACCATGGATACCTCCAGATTACGTCCACGTAATGTGTGAACCTAGGGGCCGCGTCCTCCATCAGCAAACGCGACATGCCCTCCTCTTAGCAAGCCCACCCGAAAGGTGGCATAGCTACCTGCCCCACCCTTGCCGTCACGACCCAAGCCCATTTCTAACTCGACCGAGAGGCGGACTAAATGAGATTGGATACAAATAAATCGTCGCTGTTTGCACAGCAACGCGTAGCAATGACAAACCCGTTGTGACGGTCTTCGCAGTTTCCATGGGATTGGAGCGGCTGATTTCACTTGTTGGCCGCATTTGCAATTGCAAGCGCTCCTCATTGCCGCGCATCCGGGACGTCACGTCCTGCAACCTCAATGGGAGGGGGGAACTAGCGTACCAGGCCATGAACAGCTGGGCCCACGTGTACAAATTGAAGCGGGCGAGACGCCCGGCGCACCGAGCGCGCCGAATACAGAGCTCACGATCCATACAAAATAAGCGATGCGCCGATAGTTGGAGCGCAGCAGCCGGCTGGTGACTGGTTGGGCCTACATATAGCGTTGTAGCGCGAAGAAGCGACGGACGCCGCCAGGTACCCCCGTGGTATGCCAACCCCACGTCTCTCCCGTCCCCCAACCGTTCCATAAGCTTGGCGTGTTGGGCGGCACCGGCCTGCTCTTCACGGTGCTCCCTGGCCCTTCACACAGCGTCCCGTTACTTCTGACCGTGTATTGGCAACATCACAAGTGGGGCCTAATACAGCCGCTGGGGCGGTCCCATGGTGGACTTGACGTGCAGCGAGCGCACGTTCTGCCAGTGCTTCCTTCAGCAGCGACACCAGGAAGTTGACGGCCATATGGGTGTTGATGACCAGCTCGTCGGGTGTCATCTCCACGTGGCCCAGCACGACTGACAAGCACAGCACCTGCGGACAGCGGCGGCGTTACCACCGAGGACGAGTCCTAACACGAACGCGGTACGTGCCGAAGGAGCACGCGCACTGTTATAACACAACAAGGATGATCAACACTGCAACCAACCAAACACAGATGGTTTGCAACCAACCAAACAGATGAAGCCGACCACCTTACAGCTTCATTTCAGACACAGATGGTGTCCAAATGACATCAAGAATAACCCAGCTGACATGGCACCAATAAGTAACTCAAGATTCGAAGCAACTCTGCCTTGTAGCATTACCTTCTTCATCTGGAACTTGATGGTGCTCTTGATCTCATCGACCTTGCCGGTCATGCTCTCGCCGTGGGTCAGCAGACCCGGGAACTTGCCAGCCTTGTTCAGGCCAGGTCCGAGGATCCTGGGGATCTGCTTGATGATGGACTCAGAAGCCAGGAAAGCATCATACTTCTTGGCTGCAGAATAAGGGAGGGGACATGTAAGCATGCGTGCTGTGGAAAATCCCAATTTGAGTAACTACTCGCGACCCTACACAGGTGCCAGCAGTGGGATGGTTAGGGGGGCCTCATTCATGCGGTTTTGAACCACAGCCGCCTTCTTGTAGACCTTTCAATGCTGTCCACAACCCCGTCCTTGACACCTTCTAAAGCCACTGTAGTTTCTGAACTTTATGCTAATGAAAGTGGGGAGAGTATTTAAAAGTCAGCCTGGCATGCATAATGTCACATCATATTAAAGTAATTCAAATCATGTCATTCAATAAACCATGTAGTAATCAAGGCCAAGACAAAAAAGTTGGCGTGGCATTCATATCTGGCGTTAATGAGCACGATCCCCACACATGATGGCCGTCAATTTGCTCTCAATCAATGTTGTGTGAAGTATCATGATGTTATCAAACCATGACACATTGAGCACTATATTTACTGAACAGGAAATTGTGCTGTCTGGAGCAGTCTCTTCCACTTGTAATTGTAACCACAGTTATATGAGTTTATTTTACCATACTTCATGCTTGCTTCAATATTTTCAAATGTGAAACACTCTCTTTAACATGCCTGTGTTAACTACTGTAAGTCTCAGAAACCATAGGCATGGGGGTTTGATCCCTGCAGTGCCTGCCCTTCTAGTTGGGGTGAGAGGCAGGTGATGCCACATAGCCTCAGAAGCTGAGTGCTGTGCAAAGTACCAATGACAAAAACATGCCTGCTTGTTTGTTCATTACCACTTTTTAGCATTGCCACAACTCATACAAAAAAGCTGCACGTATTTCAGGAAGTCACATAAATTCTGGTCACCCCATGATTACCCAGACACCATGCTCATTCATTTCATTGAAATTCAAGCTTTTGCACACAGTGCAAAAGTTCTGTAGCACACAATCTCTATAAGTGACCTACCTAGCTTCTTAACAAGCTTCTTGTTCTTGTTCAGCTTCTTCAAGGCCTCGACATCCATGAATGGCAGGTTGTTGGCCTGGGCCTCATCACAATGCAGCTGGTCGCCCAGGATGCACACCTTCATGGCCGGACGAGGCATGTTGCGCAGCCTGTGTTGAGGTGATATGACTAGTGAGGACCAGCGACATAGCACATGTTAACAGCCCAGTGTTCCCAATTATCCAACTTAGTGGTAAGGATGCAGAAATGCATGC